TTATGCTCCTACACTTTACTTGTTTATCGTAACTGTATGTGACAAGGTTGTTGGTAAAAACATATTTATATATGATCAAAGTCGCTCAAAATCAACTTTTTTGAAATTTACTTTTAGAAATGACTTTTTTCTAGAGCTTTGAGAGACACTGTTTTGACTTTATAAATTTTGTAATTGAAGTTACAAAAAAAAAGCTTTAGCAAGTTGTTACAAAAACTGACAGGCTTGTTTCTCGCCACCTTTTGACTTCTTGATTATAGTGACCTTAATATTTAACTGTCGCTTGGAGTTCTACAGATATTTCGTTATAAAACCTGAAACAGAGATGCAGAGTTGAACAAAAACACTTATTTTGCAGCTGGAATAGAAATATCTTGAACATCTAATCGGCAAGTCATGTATTTATTATTTCTTACAAACATAACTGATTACTTACTTTCGGTTATAATCGTTTAATATTTTGATTTTTTAGGTTGTTTTAGATTGATACCGGTCTAAGGAGCAAAAGAGAGCAATGAGAGGTATTTCAGCGATTATCCTAGTCATATTTCCAGTCGTTTCCTCCAAATATGCCATTATGTCACTGATATCGTCTAACAATTACTTATTACCCGCTAAAGTTCTCGGTTAGTCATCAACGATTTAAATTAACACGAAAAATTACAGATTCTACGGTATGTGTTGAAAAGGTTTAATGTTGTAATCTACTAGCGGTAGATGAAAATAATAACTGCAGTTCAATTCAGCTATGCCGCTGATTCCTTCTGTTAAAAAATGATGCTTTTCGTATAGGATTACTTCCGATTCCTGTGAAAGACTAGGATAATTGAGAACTACCAAAAAAAATAATTTTTGCTTTCTGATTAAATAAGTTTGAACAATGAAGATTCTTCTAACCTTACTTTTTATTATTTTATCAGTTACCACTTTTTAAAATGATACTTGATCTTCTAACTCTTTCGATCTTTTCACTGAAAAACAGCGCTAAAGAAAGCTTTTAAAAACTGTTATTTAACTGAATTTTCTGCTACTTTTTATCGCTGTAATTTCGGGGAATCAGCAGGTAAAAAATTATCTTAAAAGACTTTCTATATAAGTTCTTATAAATTCTCGATATTTTATTAAGACCCTCTCGAAAAACAAAAAAAAATCAGAAAGTGATTCTTCTTGTTCTGTCTTTAACCACTTCTTCTCTTTACTCTTTCGTTTTCTTCACTTTTGAAATATTTCCTAATAGTTTTTATCTGCTTATGTGGACGACGGCTTTTAGAATTTCAATAATTGTAATTGTAGTAACTCATAGAAGTTGTTTTAAACACTAAAAAATTAAAAATCGATGCGTAAGTAAGCAGTTTTTGCTATTTTTTACCAAAATTTTTTTTTGATCACTCTGGTTATGTTAAGGTAAATTTGTCCAGTTCAAAAAAACAACCAATTTTTGAATATTGCTGAATAAAACACTTGTAATTTTAGCACTTTCACTGAAACAACAAAACATCTCATTTCCACTAAAAGTGCTTTGTACAGAGGACGTTACAGACGCAACAAAAAAGCATTTAAATAAATTTGGGATTGAAACTTATGATGTGGTCGAGATTAATAATCCAGAAGTCACCACTTATTCATCAAAAAAACTTCAAGTATTATTTTTTTTGCCAAATTTTACACTTCATGAGTTTAAAAGCCAGTCGCCAAAAAGGTATTTTGTCTATAAAAGTTATGTAATAATTAGTATATCATTTTCTAATTTTTTTTGCTTGTAGCTACTAACTTGTAAACTACCTTATTAAGGTAGACTATTTAGGCATTATTTGTCTATTATTTCAAAATTATTATAAGAAAATTTTTTAGTATACCAAGCTGCATCTGTGGCGAATGACAAACTTTTCTGCAATTTTGTATATAGATCTCGATGCTCTTGTAGTTGACGATATTACCGAAGTGTTAAAATGTGGATCTTTTTGTGCAGTTATGAGACATTCTGATCTTTTCAATTTTGGTGTTTTTGTCTTGCAACCGAATCTTAAGGTAAATTTTTAAGTTAAAATCATTAACAGTAACGTTTGAAACATTCAGAACTTATTTTGGAGCTAAACCGTCACAAGATCTAGGTATACTCAGAGATGAAATCGAAATACTTAGCTCTTCCTTCATACGATCATGGCGATCAAGGCTTTGCTAATTCCTACTTCTCGGAATTGAAATTTACGAGAATGTTTGATCCAGCAGATGCAAATTGGCCTGAAAATTCTAGCGAAATACATCGTCTGCCCTCTTACTACAATTACGATGTTGGTCACTACTACTTACAAAGCAGTATGCGTGTAAAACCGAAGATAATACATTATACCTTAGGTCCAACGAAACCCTGGCTGTGGTGGACATACCCAATGTTTGACTTAAACTATCATTGGTTGACAATACGGTAACTATTTTCAAATACTACGTCGTCGGCTGCATAAGTAATTGCAGCTTTTTCTGAAGTAAAAATTGTGAACATCCTTTTTTGTCAGATATTTCTGTTTGATTTTTGAAACCATAAACATTAAACCATTTACAAGCAGTCACTTTACTTCTGCCTAAAACTGGCTTATCTAGTTACTTACAGTATTCAGATGCTAAAACGCAAACTTTAAGAAGCTCCTGATTTATAGTGCACAAAGGTTTAACCTTTCAGAAATATGATTACTGATGATCCACCAACAACTTTGTACGATCTGTTCTGCGTGGTATTTGAATTTCTATTAGTCACAACTTTAGTGACAATCTGTCAGGTAGTTTTAATGCTTTTAATTTTTGTGAAAATGAGGTGTTTTCTGCAACCTAAAATTCATATTTTTTGGAATTCTTCGTAAAATTAAAGATTTACAGCACAAGAGAGGCTGTTAGTTTTTATTTATAATATTACAAAAGTTTTATAACTTGATATCAAAGAAATTTGAATAGCAGTAGTTACTTTCATTCTCAGACAGTAAGAAAGAATTTCGAGTGTGGCCTATAGTTTTAGCTTTTTAAAGGTCCTTAAGCGATCCAGTCGAACACTGAAGAAGTATTCTGCGTCAATGCCATCGCACTGGTTGATCGTTGCTTCACAACTGATTTCAGTGGCGGTAGCATTCTTTCTGGTACCGCAAGGAAAAAGCCCAATTTTATCATGGCTCATATTTATTGTCAATCAGGTTGGCAGTTTTACTTGCTCTATCTTCTCAAAAATTTTTAAAAGTCTATTAATTTTTTACACATTGCTGTTTTTAAAAATTGCTTTTTTTTTTACTTTTATTAGGTATATTCATCAATTTTTAGTTGATAGTGCTGTTGTTTCTAAACGTTCTTCGGGTACGGTTTTTCGAAGAAAGTTGTGTAAGCACAACTCGAGTTATTCAGTACTTTTTGGTATCTATTTTGTCGTTTGTGATAGTCTATTTTACACTGTCACACATCAATAATTTTGGAACTCGAATTAAGTTTATGTGCATACTGGTATCTTTTTGGTTTTTAATTGTCTATTTGCTGTGTCAACGACTTAAGAATGGTAGTTGCTGTAAAGTGCCTCGTTATGAGCCTGTCAACCAAGACCTGGATTTTTAATACTTATACAGTTTCTGTTCTATTCCCATTTTTCGAACTTTTGTTTTAAAAAGTATAATCTGTAAAAACATTAAATACAGTTTCTTAAAATGCGCATTAGAACTTTGCTTATTTTGAATATGGTATTTTTGACGCATTTCTGAAAAAAGTTTGCAGCTATAAACATTAAAAGATTCTTGAAATACTGCAGCCTGACTTATTAGGCAAACGTTTTACATCTACTTGTGTATCACTTGTGTATCTACTTGTGTAATTTTGGAACTCGAATTAAGTTTATGTGCATACTGGTATCTTTTTGGTTTTTAATTGTCTATTTGCTGTGTCAACGACTTAAGAATGGTAGTTGCTGTAAAGTGCCTCGTTATGAGCCTGTCAACCAAGACCTGGATTTTTAATACTTATACAGTGACTTGACTATAAGCTTCTCGTACAAAATCACTTTATTTTGATCGAAATCAAAATTTTGAACATCTAATTGCAATTTCTAATTTTTTTCTTTTGCACTTAGATGTTACAATACGGTATTACAAAAAATACACTAATGTAGCTTATTTCACTTTCAATCACTTTTTTGCTGAGGTCCGCCAGTTCTCCTCTGTTCGTGTTTGCATTGCTCTACACAGTTGCTAAAAACTTCCAAAAAATGAAAAAGAAAACAAAGTTTAAAAATTTTTGGTTTGTCTTTTCGCTTCAACGTTTTCAAATTTGAAGTTTCTTATCGCTGTTTTGAGAAACACTTTATCAGTTTATAATAAAACTTCTTCCTCGTTCTTTACTATTTTATTTAAGAATAGATTTCTTTGTCGGGCTTCTCTAAATTGCTCTTTCCTTGTTTACTGCAAGCTACGATAATTGGGTTAAGGTAACAAAACTTTATGCTTTTCTTAAGTGCGAGCGCACTGTGGAATCTATTTATCTTGAATTCTAATTCTCTATTTTTTGTGCTGTGAAGTCTCTTGACTTGACTATAAGCTTCTCGTACAAAATCACTTTATTTTGATCGAAATCAAAATTTTGAACATCTAATTGCAATTTCTAATTCTAACCGAGAATATATTCATTAAGAATTTTCGTCTACTGAGTACTCTTTTATAGCTTGTCTTCACAATGGGTTCAAGGAAGATTGTACTAAGCTTAACCAGTTATATCCTCAACTGGAAGTTTCAAGTAGAACGTTTGAAGACAGAAAAATCAAGAGCAAAAAATTTTTACAGAAATCAAAAATAACAGAAAAATAAGGTTCTTGAGGAAGAAGAAATGGGATAATATCAGGGAACTAGCAAATGAAGTTTAAGAAAACCAAAGTAAACTTGGAATGAAATACAGAACGATAAAAGTCTCTATAACATCAAAGTCAAAGTCACAGTACAAAAAATCAACAAAAGTTCTTTTTTTAATAATCTGGTTTGCTCATTCCAAACTTTTATACTTCTTTTTTAGTGGAAGGGAAAGAACCCGTTTTATTCAAAATAGGTTTGCTTCGTAACCAAATATTCAACTGTATCTGAGGTTTCTAAGGTTTTCCTAAAACTCTCACTTCATCACAACAAAGTTGTATATAATCTTGAAAAATTTGAGTTAGAAAGTCTACTGTAAGCATCTCATTGCAGTGTTAAGTACAACACTTTGTTAAAATTTTTTCTCATTTCTACTCTTATACACGTGTACGTTTTTAGATGTTTTTTGATCACTTCCCAGCTTACGCTCTTTGAGGAGCATTTCTTAGTTTTTTAATTCTCAAGCGTGACATTGTATTACACTGTCATTTCGCCACAATAAATGGATCTGTGCAAGAGTGGTTTAAAAAACTTTATTACTGAACCTGAGGATTGCAGGCTGTACCAAATTACACCGAAATTGTATATATTATACCAACTTCAAGCGCTTTCGCTAATGCTTCCCGCTTCACTAATTTTTTTGCGGTACACCTGCTCCACCCTCCTGTTTTCTCAATTTTCGAGCGGTTGTTGTGCTGTTTTACAATAGCGAATAGTGACAATGTATTCACGCTAGCAACTTGAATTCGGATATGAAAATCTTTCCAGCTAGAAGCAGTTTTAACTAATTATTTGGTAGCTTTTTTCTTCTATTTGTCATTTTGTTTCGTTTAAACACAGAATGATCGCATGTTAACTGTAGACATCGTTATGCCTTTCTACATTTGTTTGAAGTTATTCAAAAATTAGAACGAAATAAAAGCTTTGACAGAAGTAAGTTATATAAATCCATCATTAAAGTACTCAGCCCAAAAACGTAAAAGTACCCATATTTTTTTAATTTAATCTTCTCTATATCTTCAGAGGAAAGACTCTCCGCTTTTTCTCTTCTAAAAATTCTTTAGGCACAAGGTTTCTTTCAGCTCCTCATCTCTTCAGGATTGTCCTGTAGAAGAAGCACAAAAATTAGCATAGCTTTGACGTTAAAGCAAAAGTATCAGCAGCACCCAAATCAATAGTCATAATATAAAACCAATTACATAAACAATTAGCCCTTTTGTAGTGAAGAATATTCAATGAGAGAACTTGAAATACAAAGAGGGATTTAAAACTCTTTTAGGTAATAGCAAGAAATACTTTTTTATTGTTTAGCTGTAATACGTTCTTTGCAATAAATGTTAAAATATTCTTCACTTATTTGTTAGACGTCTTAAAGTAAAAGTATCTGACGGTATAAGAATGATACTTAAATACTAAACTCACTGTGTGGATCTTTTTTTAAAATGTTTATCTTGCGATGCATGAATGGTAACAAGTTTTACTTAATTAGCTATTATTTATAGCTTAGTAACTTTCATTTTTTGATCTTTTAAAAAGTGTTGTTTGAAATCTAACAAAAAGAGAAATTATTTGCGGACTTGTCAATACAGCCCACTGTAAATACGAATCCGTCTCCAAATACAAATAGATTATTTAGATCATGACAATAAAACAGAAGAGGCTAGTGCAATGAATTAATAACAGAGATCTTGCATATAAATAAAAATTTATGAGACAGAGTCAAATGTTGCTCTGCAGCACAAAAAATCCTACAAAATCGCTCGCAAATCTCAATTAAAAAAATTAAAAAAAAAATGCGGGTTAAAAAGGCTAATTGTCTATATACGCTAAAATGTTTCTGAAACGCCGAAAAAGTGTGTTATTACTTGATAACTTTTGTTTTGCCAGTGTGTCGCATCGACTTTGAAAGATTCTCTTCGGTCATAATTTAGAGTTTCTTATAGGTTTGACTATGAATAAATACTGTATTGTAATGTTATAGCAATTTTACAGCTTAGAGGATACCGTGTTTAACTAAAAACTGACAGTGACTTAGTCTATTATGACATTTTTTGGTTCTTTATTGTTGTTTTATATGACCGAATCTGTATTTTTTCGATATTGTGTTATTCTGTGACGCATTAAAGATTTGTAGCATTTCTTCAACGTCTGCTGTTGAACAACAGTACTTTGCTTTTGCTAAAATAACGGTATAAATGTTCTCTTGGAAATAGAATAAGCTCTTTTCTAAAAAGCTAAGAAAATTGGAAATTATCTGCGCAGTACTCAAAAAACTTTATTATATTTAAAAACAGCAAGACCAAAGGTGAAAATCAAGTAAGAAACGAACTACAGAAAACTGATTGGCAGTAGACAAAACGGTAGTCAAGAAAGCACAAATGATTATTGTTTTTTTAAATACAAAAATAATGTAAATCTGCAACTTATTAGAGTTATTTTGGAATATACGGCAGAAATCGAATTGCGTATATATATATATATATATATATATATATATATAT